CAAATTTGCCCTATTAATTCATAATATTTTTATTTCTATTTTAAAAAAAAATATTATTCACATATTAATGAGGTTTAAAGTTTATAAAAGGGATTTTTTATCTTATGAAGAAATTGACGGGCCTTTCTAAATCAGAAAACTCCATTGCATTTTTTTAATAAGGTTTTGTTTTACTTCCAGCCCAATTTCACATCATTAAAATTTTTTTGGGCCTTTCTAAATAAAATTAATAATGGTAGAATTACGGGTTTTTAGGTTTACCTAACCACACTAAAAAACCTAGGACTTGCTCTATAATTACTGATATATACAATGCTAGAAATATTGATAATTGGCTTATGTGGTTATTTTAAGATTGTCTCAAATGCCAATGAAAAACAAGGAGGAAGTTGTCATACCCCAAATTTGCCCTACTAATTCATAATATTTTTATTTCTATTTTTTTAAAAAAAATATTATTCACATATTCATGGGGTTTAAAGCTTATAAAAGGGGTTTTTTATCTTATGAAGAAATTGACGGGCCTTTCTAAATCAGAAAACTCCATTGCATTTTTTTAATAAGGTTTTGTTTTTCTTCCAGCCCAATTTCACATCATTAAAATTTTTTTAGGCCTTTCTAAATCAAATTAATAATGGTAGAATTACGGGTTTTTAGGTTTACCTAACCACACTAAAAAACCTAGGACTTGCTCTATAATTACGGATATATACAATGCTAGAAATATTGATAATTGGCTTATGTGGTTATTTCAAGATTGTCTCAAATGCCAATGAAAAACAAGGAGGGAGTTATCATACCCCAAATTTGCCCTACTAACTCATAATATTTTTATTTCTATTCTTTAAAAAAATTATTATTCACATATTCATGGGGTTTAAAGCTTATAAAAGGGTTTTTTTTATCTTATGAATAAATTGATGGGCCTTTCTAAATCAAAAAAGTCCATTGTAATATGGATCGTGTACTATGTTGAGCGTTGGTGGCTCATCGACAAGATTGAATGAGAGAGAAATTATGGGAGTATTTGTAAACCTCATTAGAAATTATTAGATTATGGTGCTTTAGGTGACTTGAGTACAAGTTCTAAAGGGACACTATTATAGTTTAGTAACGATGATTTATACTCCATTATGGTTGTCGGCTATCTATTGACAAATTGAGGAACTGATCACCCTTAATCTCTTGTTGATAGTAGACGAGATTGTGTTGGATGGTATAGATTTATCTTACTGTCTTAATGGTGTGTAAAGTGATTGATATTATATCGTGAGGATAGTCTCTCATTAGTTTGTGTGAATTAATAGAGAAGTGGTTAGGAAAGAGTTGAGACGTATTGAACAATTCTGAGTAACAGATTTACATGCGAGCTAACGTCACAAAGTGAAAGATTGAGAATATCAACTGAACAACGATTTTATAATGGATGTTAAAGAAAGTCTGAAACTAGATTGAAACTTGTAAATCATATAGTTGACGAAAATTTTAATGAGGACGGTGACTTAAGATGAACGATCAGAGTTACGCAGCTGAAGCGTGATGTGGTGCATTTTCTATGCTTGTACGACTTGTTAGAAGTGAAGAACTAAATACCAGAAGCCTATGCGAATGATATGTCTTGATCTATATGTTTGATTTGGTGTATTATTGATATAGGGATGTTGTTCCCGGGTACTGTGTTTTCTCGTAAATATTTGCTGATTTTATAAGGATATTAATGTGGTTGTTGGTTGATGGTGAGTTGTGTGTATATTTGTTGAGTTATACTATCAAGTTGATGTTATAATAATTTTGTTCCCGTTGTCTTGATGTTGTTGTTGGTTACCATAAATAATAAATAGTACCCCATGATATGACGAAGTTGATTATGTTAGATATGTTGATGTCACTATAAGGGTGATACGACGATATGAATAAAGTTGTTGATATTTTTGTCGATAATTGATATATATATATATATATATATATATATATATATATATATATATATATATATATATATATATATATATATATATATATATATGGGAATGAAATTGTGTGTGTGTTTTGGTGTTGAAAATGTTGTTAAGATGATAATGCGATGTTGTATATCTAAGTATAAGTGTATTATGGTTGTTACTACTTTAAATGTTGATATGTCAAAATATTGTTGAAGTGGTTGATAAGTTATTAACAATTGCTTTGCGAAGGTGTTGAATGATTATCATGTGTGTATTTGATTTAAATCGTGTTGAATTATGGTTATACCAAGAAAGTAGTGGTCGAAGTGTTGTCAGACGCGACTTGGGAATCAGAGAGTGTGATGTGAAATTCGCGTTAAGAGTGGTATTATCGAGTAGATTTTCGAGGACGAAAATATTCTAAGTGAGGGAGAGTTGTAACGCCCGATTAGTTTAATTAATTATTTAATTAGATATTTTCGATTAATTTTGAATTATTTTTTGAAATGTCTGCTTGGATAAAAGAAAAGTCGGTGGCGACTCTTACTATCTGCAACAATTGCGATCAAACGCAAAACAACCAAGTCAGTTCTCCCACCGTATTACAGTGACATCATCATTCGAGACCACCTCAAACCTTGTTCATTCTTCATCACTGATAAGGGAAGATGCGAAATAAACCACCTGGATAGTAAAGGTATGCAACACATGAGAATCCCTCGTTTCCTCATAGTACGAGTGTGAAGAGAGTGCATAATATCTCCAAACAAAGTAGGCACATGATTATGAGTAAGAAATATTTTGATGTTGTTCACGTCTATGAGTTGGTCTGGATTACCGAATAGTACCAAACCATAGATCAGAAGAGCCAAGATCTCCTCAAAAGCATGAAAAATCATAGCATCTAGAAACAACTGAGCCTTCTCTATCAGAAATTAAGCAAGAAGACCTTTAACTCCACTTCTTGTTTCCCAGTTAGATACAATGTCTGACCGTTTCAGATGTAAGGCTGTTGCAATAGCTTCAAGTTTTGGAACCTTCTCTAAATCGGCGAAGGGTGTCTGATCAAGATTAGGTACTTCAAGTAGCTTAGAAAACTCTTCCAATGTAGGGGACCAACTGATAATCTGGGAAGATAAAACAGTTATGCTTAGGATCAAAGAACTGGAACAAAACGCTCATCATGTCTTCTTCAAAACCCGAGGTAACCAAACCGAGTAGATAGCCATGCCTCTTGGTGAATTGAGAATTTTTGAGAACCTTTGAGACTAACTTCTTAAGCTCGGAAGGTATTCTTACAAAGTTGATTCGGATAATATTTTTGCGAGCGGAGGCCATAACCTGCAACAAGGAACAAAGATAAATCCCTAGGTCCTTGAAATGATTAGTGAAAATGTTATGTTATGATGATATGATGCTATGACATTATGTTCATGTTTAAATAAGTACAAAACACAAACAAGTCACACAAAAGCCTTAGGTTTAAAGGCTTGCGTGAATTCCATATGTAAATACCTTTCCCCATTGAAGTTAAGTTGGCTCAACCAGTCCTAAAATAATAACCGAGTTCTAGGAATCTCATATCACGGATCTTTCTCGTAGGCTTTATTTTAGCACGACAACTAGGTTGCCACCAAAACATCCCGAAAGTCGAATCTCAATGAGTGTAGCCTCGAGTATCAACCAACTTTGTACTGCACCAAAGGCGGCTATCTCACTACTTTGTAATGGTCAAGATGTGTCAATTAAGGTTCTAAAAGTAAGTTAGTGTTAACGAAACCACGCAGAAGCCTAATGTTGTCCTTGACTAACTCAAAGAACATCAATACAAACCAAAGTGTCACACTAACTGTAGCCATCATGTTAGTCTACGCCGTACATTCTTTATGATCTATTGCTACTTACCTAAGGAAACCCTAGATCCAGGTGTAGGATCTTTTACAAACAATAATATCCAAACAAGTCCTTAAATTTAAAGCAAACAATTCAAACAATTAAAGCAAGTAAAATGATTTAAACTCTAAAATAATCCCTCTTTTTTTAAGTATTCCCTAGCAGAGTCGTCAGTTCTGTAATACAGTGGGAGATCTGACTTTTTTGGTTTTATCCAAATGTGCGGATAGCAAGAGTCGTCACCAACTTTTCTTTTATCCAATATTTAGGAAAGGTGAAAAGAACGGGAATGGCCTTTGATAGATTTTGAGTCTGGGGAGTAAGTTATGAAAAAAGAATGTGTTAGCACTCTTTTCATATGTAGTTATCTACGAACTCTTAATTGCTTAGATTTTATAAGTATATGACATATAGTCATCTTTGATTAACCTTCTTTTAACAAAAGAATCTAATTGAGAAAAGAAAAAAATTTCATAGACCCAATTCCACCTATTTAAAAATTTTCAAATAGTTAAGAGATGTGCAAATTACTCTCCAGATTTTAAAATAAATATCGTTTTAACAAATAAATTTTGTTTTAAAATGATTGTCATTTTCATTTTTCAATTTAGTAATGATTAATATTTTTTCAATTGTGTCATTTACTTTTTACTCTCTACATTATTTCTAATACATTAATAGAGTTAATTTTATAAAAGTGTAATGTCTTATGGGAACATTATTACATTCCTTAATTTGTATACAAAAAATTTTAAATGACAGTCATTTTGAAATAGAGAAAGTACTAATTAAACATAACCATGATTATGTTTTGTCAAACATTGTTTCCACTAAGGAAGCGAAATGCTCACCCATACATTTCTCCAACAAATGTTGAATGTAAGGATGTATTCACCAATCATATTCATTCTCTATCCAACTTTTTGTGATGGATAGAGAAGTTGTCCATTTTTTTTTTTGGGAAAATGTATGAATACACATTGATGAAAGAAAGCTCAAAACCACTTCATTTATCACAATTGTAATAAGCTAATGAACAAAAATGACTTGCTATCTGGGTCAAAACTTACAGCACATTCATCTGTTACATATAAAAGTGTGAACAATGTAAAGTTTATATAGATGAGACATCATCACAAGAGGAAAATGAATGAAAGAATCTATTCATTCATTTTTGCTAGGCTTTCTCTTCATTCTACTATAAGGTCCAACTGTACTATCCATAATATACATGTAAATAACCTGACTCCAAGATTTATACGACGACAAACTATCATAATACTCAGGAGCAATCTCCTTCACCTTGTGAAGTTTGTGTCCTGGAATTCTCGGAAAATCATGGTGTTCATTGTGATAACCTACATGCCATGTGAGAAGATTCAAAGGTCCATAGTAAGAATATGTCTCTTGTTCAGGTTTGAATATATAATGTTCTGAAATGAAATGACCCGCCATTGGATGCATCCCTCCACCAACAAATGTGGCAAGTATGAGATAAGCCAACGATTTCCATCCCCAGAAATAAACCATTGACACATCAAGTGCAATCTGAATAGAGAAGTTCATAAACTCCCATATACCAGGAGGCTTCGGTTTGAGAAACAACGGCCGAAACGCGTAAAAGAATAGCTGCAAAAACACCCAAATGGTTTTCGCAAGAACATTTGTTACAACCCGCGCTTCCGCGATACTAGGGACATCCATATCAATCCCGTCCACGCCTTGGAAACGATGGTGCTCCAAGTGATACTTTTGAAAGGTTACTGACATGGGTACGCCTATAGGGAGGTTAGCGAAAATCCCGAGCCAACGGTTGTATACTGGAGATGAGAAAGCTAGGTTGTGACTGAGCTCATGGATTGCCAAGAAAAGATTGTGGTTGAGAAATGAACCGAAAAAATAAGCTACTAGAAGTATCTTCAGCCATCCTGCATCCTTAAGTACAATAGCAGTACCAAGCTGAAGTAAAACAACAATACTAATCTGCAACAAAACAAAACAATTTCCAAAGAACATCAACATGCAACCTATCATATTCAATCCATACAAAGTACATTTCAAATCTCAGCCACAAACAAATAGCATCTTCATTTACAACATCTCTAACTGTGGAACCAATTAAAAGTTGTTAATTTAGTTTTCGTGGTCCCTACGATCACATGTCAACTTCAATTTTCATATCTTTAGCAGCTTTTCATAATAATGGTGTGTGTCTCTTTAAGAATTTAAGACAAATCTCACATCTTTATGCCTTTTTCAAAATATGGATTTCACTATCAACATCAAACCCGACACTAACACAAACAATCAATGTATCTGAACTATTATAAAGGTTAAATACATTGATTATTCAATAAATTTAAAGAGTAATTAAATCAACCATATGTATTGTGTCGGTGTCTAACATCAACATATAATAATTCAAAATATTAAAAGCAATTAAATACAACTGCATGTGTCATATTATTGTCTGATACCAAGATGGTCTCTGACACCAAGATGCCTTCAACTTGAAATGCGAACGTTCTTAATATTATAAAATAACTTCTTGCACATGCCTTCAACCGATATTTGTGTTTACAATTAATTTACTCCTTTTTTTTTTCAAATTCAGTGTCAACATACTAGTATTGACATTGTGTCTGGTCGTACTTCATAGTACAAGTATAGAACATTCTCCACATGTACTTGTAATCTAAGAATCCTACCTAAAAGTACCATTAAAAAACACCTTAGCAGTTGCAGTTGCACCTATTTTCCTAAAACACTTGAAATTAAAAATAAAAATAAAAAGCAAAACCTTCAAAATATTCATTTAACTTGCATTTATACAAATAGATCTAGGAGCATTATAAAACTCCTATGAATCACAGATACCAACATAACACCTACTAACACATGGATACAGTAATAACTTCAAAATAAATAATTTAAACACAATTATGATTATCGATATCAGACACAGACGCAAATATAACAGAGACTCAAACATAATATGAATGAATAGATAAACGAAAAAAAAAACACAAAACCTTGAATAATGCGGAGTAATCAGGACCAAAGAGTTCCTTAATTTGCGGGTATTTGGAGAGAATTAAACGACGGCGAGAAGCATGTGGTTCATCGGTATATGACCAGAAGAAATCTCCGGGCATCATAACCCCTTCACCATCACGATCTTCTCCTCCGTCAATACCCATTTTTGTTTCTCTCACATTACATGGCTCGAATTATGAATGTGAGAATGTTATATATATGAAGAGAAGTTTGAATATGGGAAATGGTTAAGAATAGTGAGACAGCGCATCTATTGTCACATTCCTTTATTCTTACTGGTTGCGCTTTTTTTATACCCCGACATTACAGCCTGGAATTTTTGTTGCGAAACCCTCGATTTAGCTAAATTAATAATCTATTTTTATTGCTTTTTTATTCTATTATGTCTTTCATTTTTTTTTATTTTATTTTTCTTTTCTATGGACAGTAAAATGAGTAAGACGAGGAATCTTTCTGCCGCCCACAAATTAAATCTGCACCTCTATATTTTTTTATAATGACAAAAATATTTTTGTTAAAATTTATCTAAAAAGAGCGAATAAAAAATCTGATAGTTTCATCCAAAAAATCTAGTGTATTTTTTATTTTATTTTTAAATTTGATAGTTCATTTTACAATTACTCAAACACATAAGTAAGAGACTTTCAATATTTAAACATACAAGTAAGAGATTTCAGATACTCAAACACATAAATAAGAGACTTCTAACAATCTAACTTACAGATGACAAATTGTTTGAGTATTACACTTGATATACAACCAGAGATGTAGACAAAATACAACATAGAAAGACTCTTACGACTTGAGAGTTTCAAGATATACAAGTATTAAGAAATTCTAAGTTAAACTTTTATTTTTGATTTGACAGAGTAACAGCTCTTTGTTTGTCAATGGTTCGTTGTTATTTTTTTAACATTTCAACTCCTTATATATAGAGACATAAAAAAGTCGTTAAAGAAGACTTCATGCACAAGTGAATTTTTGAGAAGTTTTGATCAAAGACGTTAGAATGTTGCTTGATATGGTTAATCTCTTGCAAAAGACATTTGAAAATCCTTTGCTCCAAAAGAAATTATTCGTTTCATCCCTGCTGTCTGTGCAGATTTTTGTTTGGTTCTCCACATGATTAGAAGAAGATAAAATGACTTTTGAATTTGATAGTGACCTTTCATAGTCTTCTTGATCTTTGTGTTGACCAGCTTCAAAGTCTGAGTCTTCAGAGTCTGAGTTTTCAGAATCTGGATCTTCAGAAGTTGACTTTCTTCTGAGTCTGGTCATCAGAAGTTGACCTCTTTAGAGTCTGGATCTTCAAAGTTTAATGTTTACGTTCTGATCCTTCGGATTCTAAATCTTCAAGATTCTCTTTAATGTTCAATTTTAGTGTCAGAACTTAGCTTGTATCACAAATTTTAGTTTATGATCCTGCACATTTGAACATATATTAGTATACTCACTTGTTCTTTAAATACTTTGTTATCATCAAAACCTTATGGATATGGTACAAACAAATTTTGTTCCAACAATCTCCCTCTTTTTGATGATGACAAACACAAATATTTAAGAATATTGATTGTTCATTTAATAACAATTCGACTCCAGGATCTAAGGTTTGTAAGCTCCCCTGAGTCTAATAGTTCTAAGGGTGAGGTTTGTAAGCTCGCCCTAAGTTGTATTCAGGTTAATTAAATTGAACTTTAAAGTATAATATAGATAACTCTTTAGAATTTAAGCAAGAATTTAATTGTCAGATTCAAGAGTTTAAATACTTATTATCTTACTCCCCCTTTTGTCATGAACAAAAACATAAAGAAGGAAATAAGAAAAAGAAAAGAGACTGAAGAGAAAATATCATCAAAACCAAGAAATGATGTTCATATGCAAAATATTTTTAAAAACAATAAATAAAATCAACAAAAAGATTCTAAGTCTTAAATACTAGGGTTTCTTCAAAAGATCTAGAATGGCCTTAATGTTCAAACCCATGTCATCTTGTCTTGCAACCATTGTCTTCAAATGAGCATCCATTTTTCCTTGAGTAGAAACCACAGACTAAAGTTAAGCTTCCATAGCTTCTTGATTAGCAACAACAAAAGCCAATTTAGCTTATAATTCCTCTTGCTTCTGACTGGAAGAAGCTACATACTCAATGGAGGAGCTCTTTAGATTTTGCAGAACAAAATCCATATAGGTTCAGAGAGTATCCCACTTACTAGCATGTGAAATGGGATTAGATGTCAAAAGTCTCTCAGCAACCAAATCACGATCTTAACAAATATATTAGTCCTAAAATCTTCGATTAGGGCTTGGATTGGAGATGGAAGGCTCAGATAGTCAGTTGTGTGAGGAGGGGATCTATCCTCAAAGACATTAAGAGTTATTGTGCCAGATCCTAACACAACTCCTTGTTCTCCTAAAGGAGTAAAATGGTGAAAGTGAACATATGCATAATTTTTAGGTTCATTAGGGGATTGATGTGGAGGATATTTTGGTTTTCTTTGTGTCCCATCTTATGGTGTCGGGACTCTGTGTTCAAGTGTAGGTTAAGGGTTTTGTTGAATAAGGTCAGTTTGATCTTGAATGAGTTGTTGAAGAATAGATTCAGGTATAGGTCCAGGTTCAGGGGTAAGAGTAGGTTTAGTTTGGACATGGTTGGTTTTAACTTTTGGTTATGAAGTTTTGAAAGTTGTGGTGTTTAAGAGTAAGGATTGGAGAGGTTAGATATTAAAAGGCATAAACTCTTATTCTTCAGAATCAGAGCTTGAGGTTAAGGTTGATTTAGGGCTTGAAGATGAAATGTTATATGATATATAAGGAAGGTTGGTTTAGGTTGATAAATAGGTGAGGTCTCTATGAATTGATCATTATCAGTCATGATGTTTAGGGGTGAGGGTTCCTTAAATACTAGAACAAGTGCTAGTTATTTGTTGGCTCCTAAATTCGACACCCTTGTTTTATTAATATCAGCCATTAAAGCTGAAGGATGTTTTCGACCAGCTGGGCCTGTCGAAATGCCCATCGAAAGGTGGCAATGTACTTAGAGGATTTCTTCCAAGAGAGAAGTTGGTTGCCTTCGACGTCGAAGGTGTTTCTCGTCGAAGATGCTTCTCGACGAAGGTGTTCGATGGTTCAGAGTGGAACGGTTTGAAATTCAAGCGTTTGGAGGGAAAACGGTTTCCAGCGGTTACCAAGTGCAACGTGCAAAGATCTGGAGCGTCGAACGCTGAGAACGTGCCAAGTGGAGTCATCTCGAAGCAGTGTAACTGCCCGACGGTTACTTGGGATGTTTTAGTATAAATAGTAGTAGGTCACGCAATTTCTCGCGTGTGTTCACAATTATATACAAAGTCACTCATATAGATTCGAGTACCCAGCGTGTGAGAAAGAATTGTTGAGAATGTATGTGTGAAACACCACTTTTATTAATCAAAGTCATTTACTTTCCAGAAACTTTACTTGCTTTCTTCTTTACTTTTCCTGTCGAAGCCCTTTATTTCAAGCCTTCATTTATTTTATCAAGTCCATTTCTTCATGCAATTTACTTAAAGCCTCTTTACTTTCTTGTCATTTAACCATTATCCAACTTAATCAAAACCTCAAAATCAACCATGTCTTAGGATCAATCTGATCGATCCTGCGAGTAACCAAATAAGTAACCATTTGGAGGATCAGCGGTTGTTTACCAATAACCACGGTAAACAAATTGGCACACCTGATGGGACAGTGTGTTGATTTTTGAAGTTTAACCTTTTAAACATAATCTCATCTTTTTCGAGGAGTGTTGTATGTTATTGAGAAGTGGTAGAATATACACTAACGATACCAATACTGCCAGAAGAAGGGAAGAGATGGTGAATCCGCCAAACAATAACGAAATCCCACAAACGAATGTGGGAGCAACGGTTATCCCGACCGTAAGTGAAGCGATAACCGCTGGTTCAACACCAGCAGTAACAGTCACAACAACGGGGCCATTACCTCCGTTCACAGGCCCCAGAGTGCCTTTGGGAACTCCCCCACCTAGGGGAAATTTAGGCACAAGGCCTTATGTTCCCCCAGGATTTATGACAGGCGGTCATAATCGAGAACCACTCTATGGCATGCCAACTTCTGACTTGGCTAGCCTGACGAATGCTGCGTCCACTTTTTCAGACCCTTTAGTGAGTGCCTCTTCGCCACTCCAAGGTTCTGGAGTAGGTCTGGCGAATAGAAATAGGACACAACTCTTAGGAGGAACGTCCCAAGTAGCACATGGCCTTACAACTGCCTCGACAGCAGTCTTGAGGCAACAAATGGACGAAAGAAACCATGATATGGTTCAAATGTTGGCACAAACTTTAAGTACAGTGCTGAACCCTCTAATACAAAACACTACTCAATCGAATCAGCAGATGACAGCGCAAATGACGCGTTTGGCTGATTTCTTTGGAGTACCCCAACCTATTCGACAGCCCCAAAGGGCGCAAATAAGGGGAAACCAGGGTGTATTCTTAGAGGAAGAAACCACTATCAACCAGGTCCAACAGCCTGTCGAAGAAAACCTTAGGGCACGATTGGAGCAACCTGTCGAGGAACCTAGGGTAATAACCCCAGAGGTAAGGTTAGTTAACAGAAACCAAAATGCTGACGAAGTAGTTCAGCATATCCAATACCAAAACATAGGTTTGGAAAATAATCTGGCAACCATGATCGAAAGGATCATGACTCAAAATGGGATGAACATGGGCTTTCGAAGGCCCAACTTTACATCCCCGCTGTCAGAATACGTGTTACAAACAGACTTACCTCCTAGATGTAAAGTCCCTAAATTCACTAAGTTCTCTGGGGACACGACAGAATCTACTATCGAACATGTGGCGAGATACTTGATCGAAGCAGGAGATATTTCGAACAACGAAAACCTGAGGATTAAGTACTTCCCAAGTTCTTTAACAAAGAACGCTTTTACTTGGTTTACAACTCTCCCCCCCAATTCGATCCATCATTGGACCCAGTTGGAAAGATTGTTCCACGAGCAATTCTACACGGGGCAAACCAAGATAAGCCTGAAAGAACTGGCCAGTGTGAAGAGACGTTTCACTGAACCTATAGACGAATATCTAAATAGGTTTAGGTTGCTCAAAGCAAGATGTTTTACACAAGTGCC